TCTTTCCCCGCTCCACCACTTTTGGCTCACTTTTACGAAAATAACCTTCTTAAGTTTCACTTTTTGTTGATGGCCATCTTTATTGAATTATGCTGCTCACATACAATTTCCTCCACATGAGTGGATCCGTTATATCCATAAATCATATGGAAACTACGGACTGAAAAATTTAATCAAGTTCAGCTTCTGTTTTGCACTCTAGCTCAAGGGATGAAACATCACCTATCAAGGAAAGTGCTTAAGATACTGCAAGATCAAGTCCCAAATGTAAGTACTGAAGGGCAAGCTGTCCCTGCCAAATCATTTTTAGTCAATTCTGAAACACCAAGGAACTCCCTGGAGAGTGAAAATAGTCAAAACATAATGTCAACAAAATGGGAAATACAAGGCCTATGCCAAATAACTTCACATTAAATATCAGCAAGGAAATTAAAATACTGATGCAGAATTATATTAAAACTTACAGAACAGAATATAATTTGTATTGGCCAACATAATTTAAAGAAAATGGGTCAAACCAAACTGATTCTGTTATATGAAATTGCAGGTTTTTAATCATATAGACATATATGCTTGTAGAATATTCCACTTGCTGACTAATGATTAAAAAAAATTAAAAATACTCAGTTTTACATCCATGTAATATCTCCTTTCTTGATATTGTATAATGCAAAGCAAGATGTCTCAAAATATGGACTTCAACAGCAAGTTGTTATTGGATTGGGTATTTCCAGTGGAGTCAACTTTACACGAACATCGAGCGCAACACCTCTGAACGCTTCTCATCAATCAGAAATTTAGAAGGTTACAAAAGAAAAAGGAAAGCAGACGAGATTGCAATCTACAAAAGTACTAATGGACTTCAGATGAGAAGAGACATACGTAACGAGAATCAATGTTTGGAACTCGATTCAGGCAAAAATGAAAATAAGGAAATGTCTAAAAGTTTTTTTTCGTTTTGTTTGGTTTCAATAAACAACTACAGACTGAATTAGCACTTCAGTTTCTTAAAGTTCCTAAAATTTATTTTTTAAAAAATTACGACAATATTAGAAAATTGCTTTATTTGGATTGGTTCTTCAGGATGAGTAAAATGTAATTATAAGTGCTCCAACATTCAAAACCTTCCAATGTACAAGTTAAGAACACATTTCTTTTGTGCCCTTACATAAGTCAGCAGTACTAAACAGTTACAATTTCCAAGTAAGATCAAATGTGTGTCTCTCAAACTGTTGTATTTATGGGAATAAAACCACTAGTATTTCAGAATATTAACTTGTGCAATAATTACCTTTATTTCTGCTATTTTTGATTTCCTCTGCCAATCCCACACAGTGAGCATATGCTCATTAGAGTCGTCAATTACACACAAATGAGTACCAGAATCCTAATGGAAAAAGAAAAAAAGAAGTGCTGACAAAGTACTCTCATATCCCATTCAGAAATAGTAAAATACAGTAGTATTTTAAAAAACCACATAGGTACAAACATAAACTAACCAAGTCCTTTTAAAGTACTTATAAGCTCGATATATCTGGTATTTTCCTTTTCTCTTAATGACAGACATAGATTTTTGCATAATCTGACAAAAAAAAAATGTCCATGCTTCAAATAATATTCTAGGAAAGCTTTAGAAGCATCTTACCACGTCTTTCCCTTTTAGTTTGTTTTTGTTGTTTGTTTGGAGTATTTTTTTTCTTTCTTGTTTGCAATATCACGTTAGTAGCAGAGAGGTTTCTCCCTTTTTCTATTCCACAAATATTTTGTTTTTCCTCAGGTCTCAGAGGACAGACACGCAGCTTGTATTTTTTTCTTAAATGTCACCATCACATACACACAACTTTAAATTATCAAATTTTGTAAGCACATCTCACTTTTTCCTTATGGAGCATTAAGTACCAGCAGTTTTAACATGTAGCTGGTAAAACTGCAGCAAAGGTAACACTTTCTGAATAAAATGATGCTTACAGAGCAGAAAGACTGGCATCTACAGGATTAAATAAGTGGAACAGCTTACTCTGAACAATTTTACAACAAAAATGGTAAAGGGGGCTATGCGGAATTAAAGAAGCAGAGAGAAAAATCTAAGCACAAAACCATACTTATTCACAGCAACACATACTTGCACAAATCAGTTGTTTCAAGGACATGTGTAGAAAGATTTGGAGGAGGCCTTATTTATTTTAAAGTTGATTCTTGCAGTTCAACCGCATTCTCTAACAAATTATGAAAATAGAGGTGGCTGAAATTTTTATTCTCAAATACTATTATGAGCAGTAATATGCAAATATACATGTCAATTATTAATGCTGAAGACAGCATTGGTGATATACACCAATCTCTTGCATGGGTTAATGAAATTACGTTGTAAAAACAGTTCTACACACCGTACATTCCCTGAAGTGAAGAATCACATGAGAGTGTAATAACAGATTAAAATCAGTTTCAGCTGCAAAACAGAACTAATAAAAACTGAAATCTAGTCTTCAAATTCCTTAGTGTTTTTGTTTGTTTGTTTGTTTTGTTTTTAAAATGATGGAACATGTATTTATTCACCTTGAAAAAAAAACATATCTGAGTTTAAAAGTTCTATTGGTTTGTTAGAGTGAGAGGAATGACAGTACTCTTCTCACATTATTCTGTTTTATTTATGCTACTGCCTATTTGAAAGAAAATTTTTAAAAGCCCAAAATTATTTTATTTACTGTAAGACAAAACCTAGCTATAACTAACCTAGCAACATTTCAACGCTAAGTGAAGCTGCAGCAACAGAGTGTAAGCATTTATTTTCAACAGGTTGTCCAGTGAGACTGTTGAGTCTCCATCCTTGGAGATACCCAGAACCCTGTTGGACACAGCCCTGAGCAGCCTGCTCTGCTGAGCCTGCTGTGAGCAGGACAGTGGTGATCTCCAGATATCCTGTTCAACCTCAGCTGTCCTGTGAATCTCTTTCCTCTATTAACAAAATACAGCAGACTTTCTTTTTCTGCTTTTTTTTATTTTTCACATATATTAATTCTTCTTGCTGGCATGCAAGCATCACAACCTGGGTTTTCAGGAGGTCTGATATGTCTCAGTGCTTTGGCAAAAATACAAAGGCAGCTTAAAGATTAAAATGTACACATATTTTACAAAAAAAATAAAGTCATTGCCACTTTTGAACTGAGAACTTTTATCAATACCAAGTAGCACATCCCCATTTGCTACTGATTTTTCTGCTAAATTCTGTGGGCCTAGTAACAAGACTTCTATTTTCTTTTCTATGTAAAAGTAGAGGTACAAATTAAGCAAATTATTCATCAGGAAAAAAAAACAGCACAAGATAATGTTTTTTTTTTTCATTTCCTGTTGGTGGATAAAAACCTACTCCAGCTGTGCAAGCTGAAAATCTACCCTTTCTATCAGAACTCATTAAAATTTGTGTTCATGAACCTCACTACCAACTTGTTTTTAACATTCAAACAAAAAAAAAAAAGCCCCTCTCAAACAAAACCAAACCCAGCACAGACATCAATTTCTAGCTGAGGCTTTTCTTGACTGTTATTTATTCACTGTGCTAGTTTGTTACCGCAATTTTACATGTGCAATTTCCTGTTTTTCCAGCTAACTCACTGTCAGCTGGTTTTATAAAGTATACACAAACTTTACTGACACACTTTTAATACCAAAATGGATCAGCTAGACAACCACGTACAAAAATCTCCAGAAATTTCCTTCCCTTTTACATAGGATTGGATAAATTTGTTAAACACATCAAGTAATCACACCCATCTTACCGCTTTTGAAAAATCCAAGCACCCCACTCCACGTTCAAAAGTCCCGAGGCCGATAACCTGCAGCGTCACCAGGCTCACCGAGTCCCATACTCTAACATGGGGCTGCAGAGGCTGCGTGAAAAAGCAATGGGACAAACAGCGTCATCAATGGTGAAAGCATCATATGCAGGCATCAAGTTTTGTTAAGCAGACACTACCTGAATTACAAACTGCAGACCAAAATGCAGGATGACCTGTGCTAATGATGCCACTGGATAGTATCTCGAAGCTCAAAAGGTGAGTCAAGACAATCTTGTTCCCAGTGTCTGGGCTACGAACAGGCAGCGGTGCCGTCAAGGCAAGAAATTAAGCATGGTGGCATTTGGCAGTTGCGAAAATAAGTCACTGAACAAATAATGGAAGAGTCATCTTGCATTTTAGACCTCAGACTTAGTAATCTTATGCAACAACTGAAAATAATGATCAAACCCTGTGTTTTTTTTTATATATAAAGCAGGAAAAAAAAATAATAATAAAAAAAATCCCTGGTGCACTGAGTCCTCTAACCATCACTAACTACTCAGTGAAAATATCCACAGTTATATTTCATACGAGTACTACCCCAAACCAACTTGGTTTCATAAATGTGAAACGATCACAAATCAAGCAGAAATTAAGTGGGTTTAAGGACACCATTCACCATTGAAAGTGACAATAAATCACCCCACTGATGGAAAATCAAACCAACCAGCCCTAACCAGAGATTCAACAAATGTTCAGAGGCAATCATAACAATATCTATACAAAAAACCCCACATAAATTTCTAACAAAATCTAAGAAATCAAGTTGAACATCTGCGTCAGAGTTATATTTAATGTGCTTCTACGCTTCATAGTATCTGTCTTCTTTTTTTCCCCTGTCTACATCTTCATGAAGACAATCCAATTATTCAAATTCTGACAGAGTTCACAAACAGCCAGGGACAAGAGCATTTAAATGCACTTTCTCTCAAACGAGGAGGTTTGTAGAAAAGCTTGACGCACCTTCCACGAATTCTAAAAGCTGGATTCCCCTTCGATGAAGCCTTAAGAGTACACTGACCCACAGAAGTGGGGACTTGTTCTCCTCTGGGAGAAGACTTATTGAAAGAAATGTGACAGAAATGATGTGGCCTTATAAATCAATTACAAGCTTCACATTTGTTTGCAGAATTAAAATTGAGTTTCCTATGTCACAGATAAAGGACTTTATGAGCTTCTGCTCTTTTTGATATATGGCTAATTGCTTAGTTATTACTGTCTTTTGCTAGAGATATAGGCTGTTACCTTAGAAACAGCAAAATATCTTAGTAAATGCAGTGCATAAAATAAACTGCAAACAGAAGGTGATGATGAGATTATTTTTTTTTTAAAAAGAAACAAAACACTTTTCCCTGATTTTCAAAACAAGATACTACTGCTCAACAGCTCTATTACTTACCCTTCCATCTTTATCCACTCCAGCTAACTGTCCTGTTGCAATTCTAATTTTGTCTGGATGAACTGCAAGACTAAGACAGACAGAAATATGACTTGCTTTTGCTGTCATAGGTCTTCAAAATTGAGAGGTTTTTTTGTAAATTTTTTTTTTCTTTCTCAACAGAAGCCCATGAAGACACTTACGATCCTAAATCCCACTTTTAATGAGACAGCTTGAATGTTTTTCATCAGACTATTTCATTACACACTGTACTAATAGGTTGATCAGGCTCTTTCGATGGCTGCTGGCACACAACCAGGAGTGCCGGAAGAGCCACCTTCACATGTGCTCTGACAAATTTGAAGTTTGCACTATAATCGGGAGTCCACTGGAACAAAATACACATTGTCTCATGATGAACTTCCTACATGTAGTTATGTGTCATATTTATAAACACTACAGCATGTTTTATGCCTAAACCTACACATAGCATGAGCTTGGCAAAAAAACAGCAGAAAAGTTGGCTGAGGGCTTGTGCAGCCAAGAGTTGAGGATTACTGCCACCTGAAATGAGTACTGATGTAATTGTACTAACGAAATTCTCCAGTATGGTGCACTACTAGTGTGAGTAAAAATCTGCTTTTGCTTATCACATTTTTCTTTGGAACTGACATGAAAAAACAGTGCAATTACAGGGTACACATCTTTTTAGTCCTACAGATTTTTTGACTGACCTTCTTACTTGCTTTCTCTGTAAAATTACAAAGGTGAAGAAAGGCATTGAAACAGGATAGGGGGAGCAGGGTGGGGAGCCTGATAAGGTAAGTGATGGACACCGAAAACATTTAAAATTCAGTCGAGCTTTTGGAATGAAAGTGAAGAACACAAGACTGACAGCATTCCTCCCACAGCAAGCAATTACAGTTATCAAAGCATAGCCAGGAGAAAAGAGGTTTAGATGGCAGCTCTTCTCCATTCAGGTACAGTAGGGACCTTATGCTCACTACTCTTCAGACTAACATCATAAAGTCAGCAACTGCCTTTGCACCCACAATGACATCGGCTTCAATTTCCCTACTTCTCTGTTTTGTTTTGAAAACTTCTTTCTAATTTCCTAGACAGTCTTAAAACTCGGATGGGGTATCTATTAAAAAATGAGAAAATTGTTGCTCAGTTTTCTATTTGGTTTTCCATGTCTCCTTTAAGACTACACCTTTGCCATACTGCCTGTAAATCATTGATTTACAATTACGCTGATGACAATTTTTAATTTCTGGGACATCTATTTAGAATAATTTACCCAAAGATCCTTTCTCTAATCCTGCACTCTTAGATTGTCTATATATCCTGTTGTTCCACACTTAAGCCAGAAACCCTGAGCTAGCATGGACTGTTCCAGCACTGTTCATTTGTGCAGTGTTTACTACAGTGAAATCTACTGGGACTGACAAAATAGAAAATAACTACAATTATGATGACATTAATGAGCTCTCATGTACAGTAGGAGAGAATGAAAAAATACACTTCTGTATTATTTCACTCATACTTACATGCAAATGTTATATACTAACCATTTAACACAATCCGTATGACCCAAGTAGTGTCGCTGGGTTCTCTCCTCATAGTTAAATAGTACCACCACTGATGCTATGAAATATACAATTTCTCCAGTAGGAAGGAGGTAAACGTTGGCTCGACAGTCTCTTCCACGATACCCATATCTATATATATTTTTTTTTTCAAGTCAAGGTTTTCATAATCACTGTATATCAGAAAAAAAAAAACCACAATTTTTTTTTTTCCTTAAAGGATTCTTGGGGAGCTCACACGTCAGCAAATGCTCTTTATGTTTTTCCTCTAGGACTATAGAACAATTTCAGTAACACAGTTTAAAAAAAACAAACCAAAACAAATCCCATACAATTCAATCTCGGAAAAAAAAATGCCTTAAAAAGTGATGCTCATTGATGTTAAGAATAAAGTATATAAGGCAAACTGGAAGCAAAACAAATACAGTGTTGTCGTTTTACAAGAACTTCCATGTGAAGGTAACAGCAAGACTTATTGCTCCAACATTTTTCACAGCAACAGAGCTGTGTGTCTGCACCCCGGGCATCACAGTATTACTTCCATTTGGCCTTTTAAAACAAGTGTGTGAAAATTCCTAATACCCTTCAGAAAAAGGCAAGCTTCTGCACAGCAGCTGCCAAGTTCAGGAAATATTTCTTTAGACTGTTTTAGAGTATTTTTAAAATAAACAAAATTCAAAAGGAACTGACACAGTGACAAATATTCTATTCAAATCCATCAAAAAATACATAAAAGAGATGACTTTTCTAGGAAATCTCCATGACTCCTAATGACATGCAGAAGTTTTACACACTGCAAGCCAGTCTTGATTAGCAGTAATCAAACATTATTAGGATTCATATTTTTTTTTTAAACAGGTGCAATTTTCTTCATCTAGGCTATTAATGTGGCTGGCTGCCTGTATTTCAGTTCCCAGGGTCACTATGTACAACTTCATTACTCAGACTTTAATGGTAGCTCTGTAGCCTCCAAAAATATAATTTTCCTGTTATGTCGTGCACTTCAGAGAGTTCTGTGCTTCAATGCCAACTAATACACCTGCAACAGCAGGGAAAATATGGGAAATATATTAAGCAACTTTATCTAAAGGATTCCAGCCTTAGGACCTGGTTAGTCAGGCAAATAAAAGGAAGTCAAAGACCACATGGAGAAAGTTGGATGGATGAAGCTGACCTTTTCTCATAAACGAAAGCAGGTGCAGTAATCCAAGTTTGGGAGTATCTAAACTGATATTTCCTAAGCTGACAGCCTGGTCTCTATTCTTCTTGAAAAAGGGCTACCTTTCTACCAAATATACCATCACACTCCTTCCAGTGCCACCCCTATGCCCAAAAATCCTCCCCCCCCCCCCCCCCTGTCCTCTTTCCCAGTCCCATCAAATCACACAACCGCTATACCACAGGAATGCTTGCAAAATTAAACACATGCTGTAACTAAACAATGGTTCAAAGAGAGACACTGCATTCAGTTCTCAATTAAAATTTCTTAAGAGTATGGAAAATAAACAGATCTATATCTCGCTGTCTTCTGTTTATTACAGAAATCAAGAATGGCTCGTCTGAAGCAGAGATTATTGACTGGCTTGCTTAGCAAATGATATCAAGAGAAACGCTGATAAAACACATTGCTGAAGGCAGGAAAAAAAAGGATGCCTATCTTTCTCCTCCATCACTGTTTACTTTCCCACTAAATTTTCTTCTTTCTTCTTCTTTTAAACACTGATGGAACAAAAAAACTCCTGGATGGCCTTTTATAAAAAAAAACAAACCAAAACAACCAGACCACTGAACTTTCAAAAACAACGGGCTACAAACCAATGAAAATATTTTTTCTATCCTGAAGCACGAAGGACGCCATTCTAAATATCTTCTCAGAGGAGAAAGGCAGATCATGTTAATCTGCTGTATACAATAGGGAGTGTATTGATAAGGACTTACTAAGATTGACATCTTTAAACATTTGTCCTAGAAAAGTATTAATGATTTATGCAAACATGTCTTTCCACAGCAGAAGTCTACCATGCAAAGCTAAGGCTAAATATTTTGGCACCCATCATTGAGCTCTGGGATTCAGGAGGCTGCAAAAAATGGTTACATTTTCTCAGGTCATTCCTTTCCTTACCATCCCCCTACATAATAAAGTACCAAAGAGCAGCAGCATTTTCCAGGAGTGTGTTTTTTAGGAGCACGTAAAGAAACAACCTGTTCTGTGGAAGAAATTTTTTGCTTTCATTCTCTGTCCTCAACTATCTTGAGAGAAAATGAAAGGGGCTGCTGTTCCACAGAAGTTCTTTCCTTCTCCACACACTCAGAACAAAGCAGCAGATACGTTAGTACAATAATTGACTGCCTCTCTCTACAGAAAAAGGGGTGACACAACTTTGATGGCTAGTTTCCACTAAATTTCAATGTTGATCTTTCAACGAGACTAATGTTTCAACTAGGGAAACTGAGATAGTTGTCTCCACATTGTGAATGTTTCTGACCAATTACGAGGATTGTTTTGTCACAACATTTTATATGCTTAACAGCTTTTAGTTTAGTTTTTTTTTGGGGGGGGTTTTGCTTTTAATTGGCTAAGAATAGCCATGGTCCTCATGAAAAGTGATCCACTGTACATCAGAATTCAATAGTCTATTTACCATATATATGTATAGCATATTGCTTCAATTATTCTTAGAAAGAAGAGCACCAGTGCTAAAAATAATCTTAGAAAATGGAGTCAGAAATACCATCCAGAAACTGAGCTACACTGGGAGAAAGAGTCTATAAAGTCACTGCCTGTCAACAGCAGCACTGACAGTGACCTTTGTAGCTACTAAATAAACCCATTTCGCTATTACTAGGAATGTCAGATATGCTTTAACCAGTTCTGACGTGCAGTAGGAAAGACTGCACTACAATTCAGGGATACCCAAACAAAATTATTAAATTTAAAGGAAATCACTCAGGAACCAGACACAGTCAAGAGCTCAGACTTCCCCATGAGCTACTTTATCTTGCCAAGTAGCTTAGGTATTTCTTCAGCTGGCAGTAATCTGCAGGGCAGACAAAAGCTAAGTGCGTTCCATTGAATCTACAGTACTGGGTACCAGTAGTTGAATACACCTGCAGGAACCAGTGGAAGGTGTCCCTGCCCATGCCAGGCGGGTTGGAAATAGATGATCTTTAAGGTCTCTTCCAATCCAAACCACTCTATGATTCCCTGACATAGTTCATCTAAAAAGGATACTCCTCTCCCAAACCAACTGACCAAAAAAGAAAAACCCAAACAAAAACCCCACTCCAAGAACCCTTCTGTTCTTGCCTTGAAGTTGTTCATAGTTGATCAGCACCTTCCAAAACAGTATTACTGAAGGAAAACCCAATTATAAACAATCATCCAGAAGGCAGGGGAATTAAAGGCGTTCAAATTGAACAATTCAACACTCAATCGATATTTCAGCTGCAAAACACTAACATTACTAAAACATTCTGTGAATCACTGTCCCCATGCCTTTTTAACAAGAGGTACAGGCTTCAGTTTGCCATATGTGGAAGTTAAGGCTGGCTTGCAGATTTCTTCCCCTTGCTAAACCTGTGCATGAAGTACAAGATCATCTGCTCTGTCTCCAAAACTGAAGAGTAATTTTGTTCAACTTAATAGAGACCAACATTAAGCCCTAATAAATTTTACTGCCTTTTCCTCATTGTTTGCTTCGCCATCATACCTAAAAGATACCCTATGCTTAGAAATATACTGGTCTGATTCAGGATGACATTTCCATAAACAGATTCCAAAAACATATGGACAGTCCATTTAGACTAGATTTATTTCACTTTTTTTTAGGAAACTGGTTTAACCTGAACTTAAGGTCCTTGGACATTAAATAAGTGTGTCCACACTGGGATTTGCACCTACTTAACTGAGGGTGTGATTTCATGATCAGTTTTCATCAGTACAAGCTACTCACTGCTGCAGAAAAAGTAGATCTCATCTTCATCCAGTACGCCAGTTCTAGCCCATGCATGTTTGTGGGGCAAAACAAATTAATGAGTCAATCCTGCAGAAAGTTAACTACGCAAAAAAAATTACATTTCAGCCAGATGTGTGACTGACCCAATTCACTTCAGTCATGAGTGCCAGCATCAGCACCCAAGAGCTGTGACAGCAGGAAAGGTGGGCACCACAGGTTTGCAAAGCATGAATAAGAGCTCCATTTTCCTTCCAGTCAGACTTTTAATCCAAAACTTTCCTTCTTTATGGTCTAAGCTTGCACAGCCTCACTGAAAAGCTCAGAGGACATGAGGTCCACAGATGCCCTTCATAACCAAGTACTCAACTATCTGTTTCAAAAATCTATTAGTTAATAAAGACAGGAAAAATAACAGAGAAATCCTCTTTCCTAAAGCAAGTTAACAAGGGGTGGCTTAAAATATATACATGCCTTAGTCACTAACAGATATGCTGAGAGAGGTATGGGCAGCCTCTGTCATTACATATCCTGGCATATGACAGTGTATCATCAACATTCCTAAAAATCTTCTTGTTTTCCATAACATCTGAAGGATCGAACTTGAGATTATTACACCAACTCAACTGCTGCTTAGACATGTTATTTTATTCAAGTTCTGTGAAACTTGCACATGCACAGCTTACCGGAAGAATCTGCAGAGACGAGGGTGACAGGAAGACCCAAACGTGTGCAGAAGCCTGTCTCTTACAATGAACTTAATGTATGGTCTGCTAAGCCTGGAGAAGTGTTGTCAGCCACACATGAACTAACTCCATTCTTCGCATGATAAATGTATTTAATACATACTCTTCTCCAAGAAGTGAACCCCTTCGCTTTGGAGATGAAACACGCAAGTACTGTAAAGAACCTTGCGGATAACTGCTTCGGAAATCCTCACTCCACGGGTAAGGACAACAAGAAATTCTAGATCTTATTCAAGATTTTCCACAGTTCTAACATCTAATAATGAACACAGACTGAAAAGTAACAAAGTTCCTGAATGCAAAGCCTATATTAACACAGGGGGGAGCGGAGGGGGTGATTTTTCAAACTCAGTAACTCTCCAGACACTTACCTTCACATTAAAAATAAACTGCACTTAGTTTCAATAGCAAAACAAAGAAAGTATGGCTTTTCTGTGCCTATATCGCATATTTTGCAGCTTAATGCCTTACCATAAAGTAGCTAAAAACCCATTTCAATCGTTACATTAAATTGAACCTTTTTTCCCCACTTTTAAGTAATTTTTGTCTCTGAACAGAAAAGACACAAGACTAGATTCTAAAGGAAAAAAAAAAAGGCAAGACAAGACAAAAAGGGAACCACAAGTGGTTACTGATATCAAGGATACACCCACTCCAGTTTTAACTTTTCAGGAGGCAGTTCTGTCCTAATATCATCATAGTTTTCTACATCAGAAGGAATGAACATTGTGATTGGTCGACCCCGCATGAACATCTTGATATATTCTCCCTCTGTCGAAACAAAAAAGCGTGTTTAATCATATGGCAAGTTTACACAAGAAACAAGCACAAAAGAAACCAGTAATAAGCACAGCGATGCAAATAACACTCGTGGTATAACAGTTATTTTTGAAATGCGAGCTTGGTGAACGTCCAGATTTTTTTATTTTTTTTTTTTTTAGACAGTGCACTAAAATACACACGCACGCACGAACAGAGTAAGCGTTAGTTCAATTTGTAGTAGAACAGACTGAACATGTAACATTTTAGACATGCAAATTAAATAACAAAGGCAAATTTCAAATTAAAATCTCAAACTGAATTAATAAGTAGTCATAGAATCACAGGATGAGGTATTTCAGGTGGAAAGGAACCTCAGGAAGTCTTGAAGCCCAACCTCTGTCTCAAAGCAGGCTCGGCCATGAAGTCAGACTAGATTGCTCAGGGTTTTGCCTAGTCCAGTCTTGAAAACCTCCACGGACGGAGACAGCACAACTTCTTGGCACCTGGCTGCCCGACAAGACCCCCAGGGCCTCTCCCACAGAGCTACTCCCTGCAGTCCCTCTGTCCCCAGCCTGTCCTGTTCAACAGGACAGGTCCAGGACAGATCCCTGCAGCCTTCACTTGTTATCGACTGGCCAAATTGTGTATGACTCATTAATCACAACCCTCTGAGGTCAATTATCCGACTGGTTCTTTTACCTGCCTAGCTGCCCACCTAACCAAACCATAATGGCCCAGAGGAGACACAAGGATACTGCAGGAAAAAATATTAAACGCTTTCCTGAGGAATATAATCTGAAATTATATATCATCACAAAGTAATACACTAACTTGAATTATTGATTTATTGAAATAATTCTAATTGCATGCTATTGCATGTTGCATCATATCCTGAAGAATGTAGAGAAGCAACAGGTCCTAATGACTCCAGCTGTGACAAAATGCCTACTTATCTCTGTTGGAGCATCTGAGCACTTTGCACTCCAACTTTAGGAATTCCTTTTCAAGTAACCCGAGATTATCTTCCATCAGAGAAAACTAATTATAGAGTATCTGAGTGGCTTGGTCAAACACATTACTTAGTCATTGGAAGGTAAGTCAACTGCATTTAAGGAATACATGATGGCAACTAGTATATTAGATGCCCTACCAGAAGTCATCACTCCACACTATGACAATAATTTTCTTCAGAAAACCAGAAAAGCCCTTGGAGACTTTTAAAAGCCTTTACATCCTACCCCACACAGTGAAACCAGCACTGTAGTGCTGTTTAACTATGGTTAAATCAGGCCTCAAATCCACAAGAATCAATGCCAACCTCTGATGCTGCTGACACAGGAGTTTAATTTCAAAAAGCATTGATGACAAAGAGCCAAGTATTTCTCCAATTTTGCATCAATGAAATGATCACTCTTCAACTTCTTTAGTAATTAATATCCATTGTTAATGTAACTAGTATCACAAACCCAAAGTAACGTAGTATTCTGATATGAATCTGGAACTCGGGTATTTCTTATGAGCAGGGATTTGAAAGTCACAGCAGACAGGGAACTTAAGAGTTTCATAACAAAATGTAAATAATTGAGCAGGACTGGAGTAGAAGAATAGCTGTGAATTGGCAATATAGTATTAATCTCTAATCGCATTTGATGTAACCAATATTGAGCTCTAAAATTAAGATCTTTAAACAATTACTTTTGTATTCCTTTCAAAAGACAAATATGAGACAGACTTCCCATAAATGCCCAGGGAATGCTTATAAATATTTCCCCAATTAAGCATAAGGATATTACTCAGACTGCATGAATGTGCAAACTACGTTTTGCATTCCCCAAAACATCTAAAAATTGAAATTATGAGAAACTCAGACTTATTCCCATGGAATATGGCTTAACAGCTCAAGTCAAACTTGAGATCTAAAAAGGCAAGAGAAAGTAGATAATTTCAGTGACAGCAGAAGCAACGTAGACTCCAAATCAGTCTTTTGCTTAGAGAAACACTTCAGAAGATGCAAAGATTGAGAAATAATCAAAGCTGTGAGCAAGACCAACCTTAAGGCAGCGTCTCTACCCTTCTCTGAATCTGAAATACCCATACTATACAGACTTCAGAAACATATTCTGTCTTACTGCAGTCAGAAGAGAATCAGAGAGGAAAACTCTGTTTTCACTCAAGGTCGGTCTTCTACAGCTAGACAAGATAGAAAACTGACAATCATCAGTCCAATGAAAAAATGTGGTGAATATTCTATGTTATTTAAAACAAATATTTCTGATCATAGAGGATGTGAAATTTCACAGAGTTGTGTGAAATTCTGTGGAATACCACCCCAGCTCTGGAAATACTGGAAAGCACTAGTTTTGAATACAGAAGTGACGATCTTAGCACACATCAACGACTTGGACAGCATTGACTCATACAGGAAGAATCTATGGTGACCAAATCATATAACATCATCAGTAACTCCTAGTCAGAGGAAGAACTACCCATGAGCTTGGGTGGTTTTAACATCACTTGTCACAGAATCACAGAATGTTAGGGATTGGAAGGAACCTCAAAGGATCATCTAGTCCAATCCCTCTGCCTGAGCAGGACCACCTAGATCAGATCACACAAGAACACATCCAGGCGGGTTTTGAACACCTCCAGAGAAGGAGACTCCACAACCTCTCTGGGCAGCTTGTTTCAGTGTTCTGTTACCCTTACTGGGAAGAAGTTCTTCCTCATGTTTAAGCGGAACCTCCTACGTTCCAGCTTTTATCCATTTCCCCTTGTCCTATCATCAGATGCCACTGAGAAGAGCCTGGCTCCATCCTCATGACAGTCACCCTTTATGTATTTATAGACATTAATGAGGTCCCCCCTCAGTCTCCTCTTCTCCAAGCTAAAGAGACCCAGCTCCCTCAGCCTTTCCTCATAAGGGAGATGCTCCACTCCCTTAATCATCTTTGTGGTCCTACGCTGGACTCTCTCAAGCAGTTCCTTGTCCTTCTTGAACTGAGGGGGCCCAGAACTGGACACAATATTCCAGATGCGGACACACCAGGGCAGAGTAGAGGGGGAGGAGAACCTCTCTCAACCTACTAACCACACCCCTTCTAATACACCCCAGGATGCCATTGGCCTTCTTGGCCACAAGGGCACATTGCTGGCTCATGGTCATCCTGCTGTCCACCAGGACCCCCAGGTCCCTTTCCTCTGTGCTGTTCCCCAAAAGTTCAGTCCCCAACTTGTACTGGTACATGGGGTTGTTCTTACCCAGATGCAAGACTCTACACTTGCTCAAACTGAACTAGGTCAATGAATCCACGTGCTTGAACATAAGCCAGTTAAAAGTATTCTACTACGTGCATCACACTCTGAAGATTTCACAACACATATGGCTTAATTTGTCAAAAACTTTTGGTTTTCCTCTTAACACACTGTAGTTTGATTGCTTGATGCTTAACAGTTTTAACAATTTTTTGTTTGATGAATCAGATCACAGTTTTATCAAATTTACCGAGTTCTTAGACTTAAAAGATATGATTAGTGTGACTCCTTTCTCACTTTTAGTGTGCTCAAGTCAACCTTCTGAGACCAAGAATTCATTTTAATTGAATTTTGTGTTGCTTTTGACCCTGATAGCAAGTTTATGCTGCACTGGAGACAAGAGAACGGAATTTTCCTACAACAGTCCAAATCCAACTGAAAGCTAGTGCAAAAAAAACCCACAGGCTCAAAAAATAATTCCTGAATAAAAGTTTTAATAATTGACAAATGTAAAACTAACACATGCATAAAGGTTTTTCCTTATTTAGAATATTAATGAAAGCTGAGCCATTTAAGTCCAGTATCAAAGGAACAAATACCAAGAAGATGAAAAACAGTTGTTCCACTTATTTCTAAGAACAAATACAGTTCCTTTGAACAAGAATCATGTGAGTCCATTCAGTGACAACAGTAGAAAACATGCCTCAGATCAAATATCAAAGAACAAAGAAAATCACTTCCCAGCAGCTAAATTAGAAACAATAGTTATTTTACCAAGTGTGTTTTGCTTAATTCCATTGCTGAGAAAAGCTAAAGATTGGTGTGGTGGCTAGTTTAACACAAATCTTTAGATAATTATTCCAAACTAGTAATGTCTCATTTTTCCACTAAAATATTTTTTTATAATATGTAATTTACAGACATTAAACAATACTGGCTAAACCCAAGAGTACCATATTAATAATGACCTTCCGTTTAAAATCTGGTACTTACGCTCTTTCAACTTAAAGCACAGCATAGCCTGAGGGTACGTAGAAAAGATGTGCAAGTGCATTTGTGCAAGTCCCATTCTTGACTTAACACTGAGCTTGGCTGTACTGGTTCCACAAGACCAGTGCAAAATAACACCACAAATTTAGGATCGAATTTCTCGCCACTGCTTCTAAGCAGTGGAGACAAGCTGTAATTAAAATTCACATGGATAGAGGCAGCTGCACCTGTTGGACCCTGCAGATGAGAATGATGAAGAGTCCAAGAGGAATTCAGTCAGGTCTTTGGCCTGAAGAGAAGAGGCTCTTCTGGAGCTCAGGGAAAAGATTATCTGCAGGGCCTTCAAATACAAATTAGCTCTCTGAACTTTTCTAATAAAGAACATTTTTTGCTTTTATTAGCTAGCTATGTATTATGGAAGATTACCTTTGAAGATTCATATTTAACACGCTTCTTAGAGAGACATAGGCTAGGTATAACTTGATTAAGCCTCTCCCTACAGAAGAAGAAGGATTTAAACAAAAAAGAGACAACCCACTGAAAGATTTTTGTCTAAGATTGTTAATTTCCTTTCATCAGAATAACCTGTAGGGCAGATATAATATTAATGTAAAAATCTTTTGAAATACTAGAGAGGATGGCAGTATATCAACAAAGCCATTCTCAAACAGCAACTAATTGCCTGAAGCCAAATTCTTGTAAATGCAAGTTAAGAAAACCAGTGATTTAACTCTTTGATAGCATACTAGCTTAACTAAATGTTCAAG